TTCACTGTAACCCAAGTGTTGATCAAAGGACATATAACATGCCAAGTGTTTCCCAAGTTGCTGCTATTGTGGTTGATCATGACGATTGTGACGAAGTTCATATGCGTGATATAGTGGTTCATTGTAAAAATGGAAACAAAAATAGAATTCAATATTATTTTGGATGTTATGACCCACTTCAATATCCACTTTTATTTCCTTATGGTGAAATAGGGTGGCACCAAGGTATTGAATGAATTAATACCGGTCAAAAGAAGCAACAATTTTGCAAAAATGAAGTCATTGTTGATGCTGTTCAATTTTTTTCACCTGAAGAGTTGATTCAGAAAGAAACAACACGTAAGTTTATTAAATCACCTCTTTTAGATCTCTTGACCTATATGCTTACACAAATTGTTAAGAAAATTTCTTACTGTTATTATGTGTGAATTGTTCTTTTTTTATTTTAATTTATTTTCTATTTGTTCTTTTTCCAGTGATGGAAAATAAAAGAACCAGGACACAAGTTTCATGTAGAGAATATTATTGTTATAAACTACAAATAAGATTATTATCAAATTCAACGTTATTACATTCTGGAAGACTTTTACAGCAATATGTTGTCGACATGTATGTGAAAATTGAGACATCTAGATTAGATTATTTTCGACATAATCAGAGCATTCTTAGAGCTGAATTATATCAAGGAATTGTTGATAGTCTTCAAATTGGTGAAAAAAGAGGTAATAAAATTGGACGTGTGATAGTTTTGCCTCGATCCTTTATTGGTGGGCCTAGAGACTTAAGAAAAAGGTATATGGATGCTATGTCTTTAGTGCAGAGATTTGGTAAACCCGATATATTTTTAACAATGACCTGCAATCCCAATTGGCCAGAAATTAAGGAACAATTGAAGTATAATGATGAAGCTCAAAATAGACCAGATTTAATAGCTCGAATTTTTAAAGCAAAACTTGAAGAATTGAAGGAAGATATTTTGAAAAAACTCATATTTGGACAAGTTTCCGCGCATATATATGTTATAGAATTTCAAAAAAGAGGACTCCCACATGTGCATTTTTTACTGATTCTAAGGAAAGATGCTAAGCTTGCTTATCCTGATTTGATTGATAAATTTGTTCATGCCGAGATTCCGGATAAAAGTAAATATCCATATCTCCATTCTCTTGTTATTAAACATATGATACATGGTCCTTGTGGTATTTTAAATTCAAAAAATGTTTGTATGAATAACAAAAATAAATGTAGATTTGATTTCCCAAAAACTTTTAGTACATGCACAATCCTAGATAAAAATTGTTATCCTAAATATAAACGACCTAATAACAGAAAAAAGGTGAAGACTAGAAATCATTATTTAGATAACAGGTGGGTACTTCCGTATAATCCATATTTATTAACGAAGTATAATTATCATATTAATGTTGAGATATGTTCAACAATCCAAGCTGTTAAATATTTATATAAATATGTTTATAAAGGTCACGATAAAGTTGATTTTGTTGTAAATGAAGATGATCCCAATTTTGTTTGTGATGAAATAAAAATGTACCAATCAGCTAGATGGGTATCTCCGCCTGAAGCTATGTGGAGGATTTTTGCATTTTCCTTATATGATATGAGTCCATCTGTTACTGTTCTACAACTACATTTAGAAAATTATCATTCAATTACTTATAAAGAATTTGATGATTTGGAAGAAATTGTGAAAAAAAATTATTTCCAAAAGTCAATGTTAACAAAGTATTTTCGTACTAACGCTATCAGTGCTAAGGCAAAAACATTGCTATACAGAGAATTTCCAGAACATTTTGTGTGGAATCCAAAATGTAAAGTATGGTCTGAAAGAAAAAATAAAACTTCTTCAATAGGGCGAATTGTTTTTGTAAATGTTATGGAAGGAGAGAGATATTATTTAAGAAAGCTTCTAAACCATGTTAAAGGAGTAGGTTCATATGATGATTTAAAAATAGTAAATGGAGTTTATGCTTCGACATTTCGTGAAGCTGCGGTATTACATGGTTTGCTTAATGGTGATACCGATTGTGAAATGTGTTTACATGAAGCTTCTCAATATCAAATGCCAATTCCGTTGCGTCAGCTATTCGCTACAATTTTAACATTGTGTGATCCACATAATCCCAAAAAATTATGGAACACATTTAAGCAAAATATGATGGAAGATTATGTACACCAATGTTTAACTACCAAAATGGCCGAATTAAAAGTTTTGAACGAGCTACATGAAATATTACAACTTTCGGGTAAGAGTCTGAATAGTTATGGAATTGTTGATCATCTTTTAGACTTTGAAGAAAACAATCATATTTCAAAAACTATTATTGATGAATTAGAGATAGTCGTTTCAGATGAAGTTATGCTATGTGAAATTAAATTAAATTTAGAGCAAAAAAAGCATACGATATGGAATTTATTTTATTGATGGCCCTGGAGGGACAGGAAAAACATTTTTATATCGCTCTTTACTTGCAGCTGTAAGAACAAAAGGGATGGTTGCTTTGGCTACAGCATCTTCAGGAGTAGCAGCGGGATTACTTCCTGGAGGTAGAACTGCACATTCAAGATTCAGAATCCCTCTCCAAGTAAGTGCTAAATCAACCTGTTCAGTTAGCAAACAATCTTCCTTAGCTGAATTATTTCGGATGACACAATTAATAATATGGGATGAAGCTCCCATGCTAAATAGATTAGTTATCGAATCTTTAGATACAATGTTACGAGATATTACAGAAAATAATGTGTCATTTGGAGGAAAAGTAATTGTTTTAGGAGGTGACTTTCGTCAAGTATTACCTGTTGTTCAAAAAATCAAAAAGAAGATATAATTAATGCGGCATTTGTTAATTCATATTTATGGCCAATTGTTAAGAAAATAAAACTGGTTAAAAATATGAGAGCTGAATTGGATTTACCTTTTTCTGAATATCTATTACGAATTGGAAATGGGACTGAGAGTTTACATTCATGCAGTATGATTAAAATTCCAAATGAAATGGTTATTGCTCATGAAAATGAAGCTGATTCTGTGAAAAAATTGATAGATGTTGTATTTCCTGAGTTGGATGATTACCCGGAAAATATTGAACATATGATTAATAGAGTCATATTAACTGCAAAGAATGAGAATGTAGATTTTATAAATGCTATATTAATAGAACAATTTCCTGGGATCTCAATGAAATACTATAGTTTTGATGAAGCGGTAGATACAAATAAACAAAATTTTGATGAAGATTTCTTAAATACATTAACTCCTAATGGTATTCCACCCCATGAATTAATTTTGAAGTTAAATTGTCCTATCATTTTAGTGAGAAACATAAATCCATCTGAAGGCTTGTGCAACGGAACTAGGCTTATATGTAAAAAATTTGATGCAAACATAATTGATGCTGTGATTGCTGTTGGAGAATATAAAGGAAAAAGAGTATTTCTACCCTGCATACCATTTATACCTCTTGAAAATGATACGAGTCCAATTCGATTCAAAAGAACTCAATTTCTAGTTCGTGTTTGCTTTGCAATGAGTATAAATAAAGCTCAAGGACAAACTCTTGATTTTGTTGGACTGTATTTACCTGAGCCTGTATTTTCACATGGTCAACTTTACGTTGCATTATCAAGAGCAAAAACAAGCAAATGTGTTAAAATTCTTATAAAACCAACTGAAAGTAAAAAAATACATGCAAGTTGTACGAAAAATGTTGTGTATAAAGAAATTTTAGCTGCTGTTAATTCTTCTTGAATAATATCTTACATTTTTTCCTTTTACAGGTTTTTGAAGAAAATCTATAACATTTGGAAACAAAGAACTCCAGCAACAAGTGGACAGAAGTTTTTATTTGGAGGAAACCATATCCTATATTCAGATATAGATCCCATTTCACTTTTCATTTTTTTCTACGTTCTTTTTCCTTCAGTTAAATGCAAGAATAAATCTATTTGGTTCACTTCCTTTTTACTATAATCTATTCTTGAGTCTAATTGTCCATTTAATCATACATATATATTATTTGCTTTCACACATCAAAGTTGGTAAACATATATCATAGGATCCATTTTTGCATAATTTGTTCTTATATATGTTAGAACCCATGATGTTCAACTATCATCTTTTTATATCTTAAATACTAAGATGACTGACGTTCCTGAATTCTTGTCATATCTATCTGTACTTATTGTTATGGGTCATAGACATGATGAAAATTCAAAATCTATCCACATTCCTATAAATGATAAATCTTGTAATAATTTAATAGATAATTTTGTAAACAAATTCAATCTGAGGTATGTTCTACACTTTTAGCAAGAACCTCTTTTTATTGGATCTTAATTTTAAACCTGAACAGAACTTTTGTTGCTAATTTTTTGTCTTATCATTTGTGTGTGTTCCATCATTTGTAGATAATGTCACTGTCTCTTATTGAAGAAGAGCTTCGAAAATTATGGTCTAACATATACTCTGACATTTCTTCCTCCCCATCGCTACTGGTAATCTCAATTTCTATTGACTTTCTGTTTCTAATAACATTATCATCATCTGCTACAGTGTGCATTATTTAGCCATTTTAACAGCTTCAAAATACTTTGTTCCTCTGAATGTCTTTTTTTATCTGCTACAGTGTGCATTATTTTGTCATTTTAACAGCTTCAAAATACTTTGTTCCTCTGAATGTCTTTTTTCACTTCTTTTCCTTTTAGTTGTTTACAAAAGCTCATCTCATCTTATAAAAAGATTTCCATGTGATGTACACAACAACTAATGATGCAAAACTTTCGTATTATAGTTTTAGTTCTTTGAAAATTTGAAGTCTGAGTTATGCAGTCACTACATATGTCAGTTAAATAGACATTTAATACTTTCAATGACCAAAAGTTTTTCATGACTTAGCGAAAAAAAATATAAAGCTCATTCATTACTGGGTTCCAGTTTTGCTTTACTTTATTGATGATTTCAAACATCTTAATTTACTTGAGGTATGCTAAAAATAGTGTGTTTTCATTCTAATATTATCATTCTGCCTTCAAAAGTGCTTTTCTTGAAGTGTGAGCATCAATTTTTATGCTTTGCAATCTATCTAGAGAATTACGAGATACAACTTGGTCAACATGCAAGGTCCCCATATCGCTTCTTTAATGGTCAGAGATGCCAGATATGTTTAAGGTCTGATTCTTTGCAACAAGTGATGGAGAGGCTGGCAACTCCTGGTAATTTATCATGTCTTATCTTTTCTATGCTTACTGTTTTTACTTCTCTGCTTTTGTGATAATTATTCAAGTATGAATTTGGTAGATATTTGATAGTTAAATTTGGTTATATACTCTGTGTTGGTGGTATTCATGTCTCTCTTTGTTTTCATGTTTACAGTAAATGACTATGCAGTAACTATTTCACCAGATCAAAGCAAAGATTCTGTGGATGATGTAGCATTACCAGTGGTACCTGAATGGAAACATGACTCGGAAACCAAGTCGAAAGGCAATAGAAATGTTTCTGAGACAGATGGTGCCCTTAGTTCTGATGAGGTCAGTGCTAACTAATTTTTTTTTCATGTAATATATGATTTGATTTCAAAATTGCATAAGAATTATTTAGGAGAATTCATGATCAAATTGATAACCACAATTCTTCTAGAACGGATTTATGAAACAATCTAAGGAGAGCAACCCCCTTGTTCCTTCAAATCATAACTCCAAAAGTAAATTGTATGGGCCTCTCTACACCAGCCAAGATACCTGATTCCTGTAGCTGGACTGAATCTTTGTTATACTATGTGTTGTACAACTTAGAAGGTTGTTAGTTTTTAGGATGAGATTAATCCCACGTTAAAAGACATTTTTGATGATCAACAAACTATGTCACTGGGATGCTAACAATTTTATGTTAGATATCTTTGATATTGGAAGTATAATTCAATGTTCAACTATTAGTGTGGAGACACTTTTGATGTTCATGAAATTGGACTTAGATAATGATTCGAACTTTAAACACATGTAGTTACCTTGGAGCCGAACAATTGAGAGAATTTTCTGTAAAATCTTGCTTTTGTATTGTGTACCCTAATGTCTATATATATTGTACAATAGTTCATCTATAAAGAAAGTAAATAAAGACAATTGCTAGAAATCAGCTTTTCCCCAAACTATATACGGTAACACTAATCAGATTCGAGTGTAATTTAATGTTCATTTTGCTTGAAAGACGCAAAACACTATCCTTGGGTGTTATCTTCTGCAGTTGTAATCTCTATTCACGTTCATTTTGGTGGCATTTTAGTTTTGAGGATGATGTAGATATTGAAACTATGATTCTTCCGCATAAGTTGCAAATTAACTTTTTATTCTCCTAATTACAAGATACTCAAAATGCTCTACCTACAATGAGAAAAAATATCAACGAAAAAGAGCTTGAGGCTTTGTTAGTTGGGAAGCATGATTCTTTCTCTTACTTCATGAAGGTAAACTTTATGAATGACCATATTTTTAGTGCTTTTAAAATATCAATAGAGATTTTCTTTTGATTTTTTATCTCTCGTGTAAAAATGTGTAATTGTTTGTTGTTTCTTTTAATAAGTTACTGTCTTCAATTTCATAAATTTTTTATTTCCCTGCAAATTTACTGTTCCCTGCAAATTTACTGACTTCTACTGACTTTTACTTTATGTATTCAACAAGTAAACATTAATTAATATTGTACTTTATTCCTTTTTTCTATTCTATAGCTAAAAATGAATAGGTTTTGTCCTTAATTTCTTGTGAAACTAAATCAGTATAGCCTTTTCAGTCAACCTCAATGCCATACCCACCATAGTACTGTCAATCCATTCATCTACTTTTACACTTTACGTTTGCAGGTCTTTGTGTGTCTGTGTGTACACACATCTATATATTTAAAAACATATATATACTACTACATACAACATTGCTCAGTTCATTCTACATTTTACAAATTATCTTATTACTTCAACGAGGTAGACATTTTCTCTTACTTTAAATTACATTTATTTCTTTAACAAATACGAAATAATACTTACTGCCATAATATTATCTTTCAGTTATTCATCTTTCGTTCATCATGCTTTTGCATTCTAACTATTTTCTGTTTTCTGATTTATATTTTTTCCAGAAACCATGGCACCAAATCACAAATTAATCCCTAATATTGCACCACGAGAAATTGGATGGATATGTAAGGTGGTGGTTGTGGAAAAAACAGCTCTAAGAACATCACAAAAAGGAAATGGAATCTATCAACACCTATAGCTACTAGATACTGAGCTAATATTTTCCCAATACAAATTTTTTTCCGTTTATTTTAAATCACAATATGAACAAAATATATATTCCAGCTTCTGTGGTGTATTTTACATAGTTTCATTTCCATATTTTCGTAAATTTGCTAATTACATTTGTCCGCTACATTTGCACACTAATAATTTGTCTAGGAAAACAAAGTCCAAGCAACAATATTTGCTCAAAATGTCAAGGCTCTTGAAAATACTTTGGTACCATCGAAGACATACTTGATCTCAAATGCATATGTCAAGCAAACAGATGAACGATTTAGATCAGTTTTTGGAGATAAACAATGGACAATTAGTGGTTCTACCCGAATTGAAGAATCAAATGAAGACCATAGCCCTCTTGTGGAATCATGTTTTCATTTTACTCCATTTGACGAACTCGAAAACTACATTGATATGGACCACGAAGTAGGTAAGTCATACTGCTAAACTGAGATGGTAGCTAAAATTTAAATAAATAGTAATACTTTTACTTCATAACTAATAATCCAGAAATACTTACCCATGTTTTTCTACACAGCATTTGTTGGCATTGCTGTTGATGTTCGTCCAAAACGAAGAATTTCTACCAACAAAAATGCAGATTCCACAGTCCAAGACATTGTTCTTATCAACGAAAGTTATGCATACACAAATATGAATCTTTAAATACAAAGTATTAGTGTTCCAATTCATGCAACTAATCTGGAATTTTATATCTTCATTTGCAGATTGCAAGCAATTATCCTGACCATCAGGGACAATTTTATCGACCATGAAGGAGCTGAAATTATTGACTGCCTTATGAAAAAACCAATGATTGTCGGAAATCATTTAAAGGTCACATCTTTTAGAGGTAAATCTAATCAGAATTTTATCTTTACATTTCATAAACCATTGTTCTTAACTCAGTATAACTTAAGTACATAATTATATTTTATTGAACAGGAATGTCACTATCCACAAAAGCAAACAATTCAATCCTCATTAATCCGAAATTCGAAAAACTTGCTGAAATAAAATGGTTAGTATGCATATATTTTTTATACACTCTTTACATCCTCATTCGTTACTTAAATTTATAACTTCCACTTATTTACAAGGATTGAAAGAAACAAGGAGATGTTGACAGAGATGGTCACTCAAAGAACATATGAATTGCCGAATACATCAACTATTTCACCACCTCCGATGAATAAAATTATCAACATCAAGGACATTTTAGAACACTCACCAACGGTAAATGAAATACTAATACTGAAAATAAGACCATTTTTATTTAGATTCTATTTTGTTTCATTTCTTCATAAATGGAGATTTACTTTCGCAAATTGGTAACACTCATTCTACCTTTTCCAGCGCAAACCATCATGGATAAAAGGAAAGATCGAATTGAAAACAGGTACTCAATCACTTTAGTATATGGCATGTGATACTTGTGGCTGGATGTCTTTCGCTCAATTAAATGAAATGTATTTTTGCAACTATTGCAAATACATGCATGCCAAAGCAATTCCAAGGTAATAAACAATACATGTCAAATTATGTACACCAAATGATCACTCTACATATAGTTTCATTTTTATTAATTCGAATGCATGATACTACCTATGTATACCTCTGCCAGGGCAAGATGCAATGTTCTAATTTCAGATGACACCAGCACTATTACTGCATCTTTATTCGGTGATGTGGCTGAAAAATTCTTGCAATTTTCAGCTGAGGAACTGATGAAAGACAGTATAACGGTACACTTTTTTCTATGAATTCTTACACTACATTAACCATTATTTTCCATTTACATTCACAACTATATTAAACAATTTATGTTCTTCATACAGCCGAAGCACTTCATCAATGCACAAGACACCAATTCTGAAATTGAAGACCATTTTATTTTCATTAAATTTGGAAACCCGGATCCAAAAACCAATCAGCCAAGATTCGATGTCATCTACGTTCTTCAGAACAACTCTGCCCATGCACAAAAATCTATATCGTCTCCATATCACCTCAAAGAAAAAAATGTCTCATATTCCAGAAGCCTATCTAATGCACGAAGGACCTTGGTGTTCGAAAAGGAAAATATTGAACAGCTGAAAAAGCAGAAAATGGCAATGACCAGTGATCCTGATATTGAAAACAACGATGCAAATCCACCAATCACCACTGCTGATCCAATGAAGAACTAACTCTACCAGTTGAAGTGCCACTGAAATTACTTCATTTTGTTATTCTATAATCCAACTTTTTGACTGCAACACTTTTGTACATCCTACCGTATTTCAGTGTGTTGATGCATTTCATGAAATTCAGCTCAGTTTTTGGAAGCTTGCTTTTTCCTTATCAACTGGAGATCACTATGTACATTTTATATAAAATTAAATAAATTTAGCATGTCTACGATATATAATTATTCACATCTTTTGTTTCATCATGTACAACCATTTAACATTCTTCACTCTATACAACTAAATCTTAACTAATCTAAAATAGAGCATTGTTATAACAGAATTTATATCCAAATTATAACAGTCATCGTGCAATGCACGATCCTCCACTAGTATTAAAAAAAGAGTATTAATAGAATTTATAGCATGGTCCTATAAATAAACATCGCTCATAGTTTTATGAAAGCTGTTTGAGATAATTTTGATTCTAAGATAACGATTCAACATTTTCCTCATCTTGCACCGCTTCAATAGAGAGGGCATTAAACTGCATATATTTTTTCTCATTTAGTTTCTCTAGGTCTACATAAATTTGAATCTTTTAAATTTCTTTTGATAATTTCTCTGCAACGCTTTTAACATATGGTCGATTTTCCTACAAAATAAATTTTGAATAGGTTTACATAATTAATAAAAAATCCAATTATTTTTTTTAAATAACTCATTATAATAAAAATCAAGTTTTGAAGAAAAATTTAAAAAATACCTCTCCAACATGTCCCATCAATTCAACTGTTGAACAACCAAGTGTCTGTTCTGATATTTCACCAAACATAGTAGAAGCTAGTTTTCAGTATTATCGTTCAGTTCAACATATCCCCTAGCACTTTAAATACGTTGAATATATTGATTTTAATTTGAATAGTGTTAAATTCTAAATTAAATCAGACATCGATTTTAAATTAAAATTGTAAGATACATACCGTGGTTTGCAAACCCCTTGACTTTTGCAATATATACAAACGAAACTTTTATTATATTTATATCCAATTCCTTTATTACAGTCAACGCATGACATGTAATAAAA